AGGGACAAGTCCAGAAGAGATGTAGGGAATGACTGAAGGTGATGATGAAGCCTGAGCGTGCAAGGAAATGCTGACGGCAATCGAAGGAAAGCTGGTGTTGGAAAGACATGGCTGTATGCTCCATTCAAGTGCAGGTGAAGTATTGCATCTTCTTAGATTTGTAGTGAGCATATTGCAAAAATTGAATCATAGGTTTGTATAGGTTGGAAGGACGTTCAAAGGTCAGCTAGTTCAACGTCTTGATTCTGGAAACCCTGCTATACTTAGTACTGCCTGATCCATTTCCCACTTGTATTCATCAAAAAAAGAAGCACCCTCTGTTAATAGGAAGCCTGGCAGGAGCTGAAGGCATTCATAGGATGAGGCTTCTACTGACAGTCCTGGTTTTGCTGCTTCTGGTTTTCTAAGTGTTTTCCTCTTATCACTGTGTAGTGCACACTGGAAATGATCAATCAAGGCTCATGCACAGGATCTTTTCATGCTAGCAAGAGAAAAATCAATTTGTGTTCGAAGGAGTAAACAGTAGTATGAGCTTCATCTCCCCAGAGTGAAAATGGGTTCCTTGATAAAGGAGATGACAATGAAAGCTGAGCTCTTGATGTATAAGCACATAGGTGCTCAAATGCAAGAAATGAGAGTGGGTTCCTACGTTCATTTAACATGCTACATTTATCTTTCCAATAAAACAAAGATAGGAAGAAGAGATTACTTGTTGAATGCCAGTTGTGCATCAATAAAGCCAGAGGGATTGTTCACGAACAGTGTATCCAGGTGAAAATGTAGTTGGTGAGTTCTGGCAAAGACATTATTCATTGTGTATTTCTGCTTTCTGACGCTACATTTGAATTTTCAGAACTATTCTGACAAGTCTGTTGGAAGATTTTGTTGCTAACATTCCTGGGAAATGCCTGCTGTCGGATGTAAATTACAGGGGAAAGAGACTTTATATGATTTTTCTGTGCCGCAAAACCAAATCCTGATCTCATGCAGGTTATAAATTGTCCAGGAGGTAAGAGTGGTCAAGGAACTGTTGAATGAATAAATGGAAGGTTAGATCAACATGACTCATCAGATATTCTAACCATTCACCCAATGTCATTTGATCTGCATAACATTAAAGGCTACTATTCCCTCGCTCTTAGATTTCTGCCCTCCTTCCCTCCCTTTAAAGTTTAGCACTGAGCCATCCAAGCCATACATTAAACCTTTGGTTCCACATCATTTAAGTTCTGTTCTCTCTCTTGTGAGACCAAAATGTGAAAAGAGCCTTATAATACTGGCTTGTATTAGGTGGGATATTTTGACTGTCTGACCTTTCCTTTTTTCTTCTTTCCTTTTTTTTTTAGCAAGCAGTATTTAAAAGTAAACATGAAGCGTTTTGATGCAAAAGCGTTTTGCCAGATTAAAATGAAATTGGAAGATGAGTTCAGTGTAGCATGTCGCTGCTGTGAAATCTTTTTGTTTTGATGGAAGTTTTATTACCTCAGGACGTCTGTCTGCAGCTTATGTAATATTCACTGTTCTTCAGTCTGGGGTTACTGAATGCACTGCCGGCCGAGGGAAGGGCTCACGATGTGAAGTGCAACTACGCAGTCTTACAGAAGCCAAGTTCCTGGAATCTGTCCTTTCGGCTGAGTTAGACCATGCTGCTCTCAAAGGAAGAAAAGCACCAAAAGTGTGCACAAATGCAAGCTGCGCCCTCCTTTTTAGAATCTGATTACTGATGGAAGCTGGAGAGGAGAGGGGGGTGGAGGATCACATAATGGGTCCTAAACTACTTGATTTTCATCAGATTAGGAAAGTGATGGTATGGGATGGATGTCCAATCATGACTAAACTACAGGAGGAACGTGGCATTTTATTAACAGCAGTTCTAATAACAATTTGTTATAGGGCTAGTACTCGAGAAGGTGATGAATATTGTATCTGCTCTGTTTCCTTCTGTCCTGATAAATCTATGCTCGGATGCCATGGTTTGCCATGTGGGCCTGCTTGCACTTGTTAGCTGAATGCAAGTGTTTATGGACAATTAAACCTGCAATTTTTGATTCACAGTTTGAAAGGTTGAGAGGTTGTTTTTTCTTTTTTTTCCAGGATAGACTAAGTTTCTAATAGATCTGTACCTTTCAAGTCTCTTAGAATGTGCAACTGTAGCATGAATTTAGAAAAATGGTCTCATTTCTTTAGAAATCCATTAATAGTAATGTACTGAAAGACTCTTACATTGATCTTCTCTCTGATAGCCATGTTGTAATAATTATTCTTTTAATGCTTGCATCAATCTAAATGTTTTCCTCTTTGTGCTAGCTCCTGCTTGGATCTCCCTATATGACAATCACAGCACTTTGACATCTTGCATTACTTTAATACCAGTGATTCAAAACAAAGCAATGCCAAAGGGAACAAAAGTTCTGTCAAGCCATTAAAATCTTCTTTGCCATTAACACAATTAAATTGATGCATGAACATTTAAAGTTATTAGCAAGTGCTGCCAGCAGAAGCTGGTTGTGATTGCATTATATATAGTGGGCTTTATTAAAGTAAAATGGTATGTTTATTGTTATTAGCATCATTAGTTCTGAAGTAACATAAGCTTAAACAGGGCTGTGAATTGGGAGAGGACTGTGAAACAAGTACGAACATGCTCTGCCCTGTGTTAATAGTCAGGGACACAATTATCACAATTAAGACATTTCTAAACAAAGGAATACACATGGTATCTTGGCTAACCATTGGAAATGGCATGTGTAATGGTAGGGAGGGGTGTTAAATGAAGAGAGGACTTCTGTATCTCTGCTGCTCTCACTCTTCCCAGTCTGACTCACTCAGCTGGATTTTGGGCTGCTCCTGTTACTGCTGTGAAAGATTTTGTGGTTGGTGTGTACACTGCAAACTTACTGGGGGAGTACTTGTTTTGTTTTCTTGTATTCCAACATAACAATTTTTCAATGAAAAAAATCAGGAGTGTATTAGAGACATATGTGCTCCCACTGCACATTGCAGTAATACCCGTGCTTGCTAATCTTTTGGTTAAAGTTAACTATGTTCCTCGCTGAATGGAGAGTTGGTATGAGGTATGGAAAACACAGATTAGCAAAGAATTTACAGGTATTGAGAGGGAAAAAAGTCATTTAAGTGAAAAGTAGGGGGATGAAGGAAGGCGAATGAAGTGCTGGAATATCAAGCCTTGCAGTATGAGGGTGGACTGCATCCCTAATGCAGTTAATGCTGCCCATCCACTGGAAGTTCTCAGCCTAGGTTTGCTAGGTAGAATGTGAGCTGAGTAGAAACTGGGTACAAAAGGTAAGGCTCTTTTTTTGGTCGGTTGAATGTTTTTAAGTGATATTATGGAAAATTATAATCTATAGTTGCTGAAGTAGATAAAAATCACTAGTATTCCTGCAGTGTAGTCATATTCATTTGAGTACTTCTTTACCAAGATATTGATGAACTGTTGGAAATTCAGAGAACAGTAATGAAATAAGCCAAAGGGATGGAATACCTTGTTTATCAGGAAAGAAGGTAAAAGTTGAACATGCAGCATTTGAGAAAAGTGGAGTATAATTCTGCATGTCTGTGCATGGTGTAAGTGCGAAGGGAAGTAATGAATTACTTAGAGTAGTGGGAAGAGCTCTACAGAAAGGCTGAGGTGACTCTGAAAGCAAAATTTTAAGAATTATCACAAAAAAAGGCCAAATAGCATACAACACTGCTCCATATTTTATTAAGGGAAGGGATGGGAGACCCATTTCCCAGGGTCAGACTCACCGCACTACTAGAAGATACGGGGAAAATGTGCTACATTAGCAGAGTGTGAACTTGGTGATCTAATAGGTCTTTCTGGTCTTTGACTTTTGTAGCTGTGTGGATTTATTCTTGAAGCTTAGTGCTGGCTGAAATATAGGAGGAAAGCCATGGTCAGTGCTTTTGGTCAAGCTCTATCGCAGATTAGGATGACAGGGATTAAGTTTAGTCATGAGTGTCTTTTACCAAACTAGTTACCGAGGGCAATAAGGTGGAAGCATTGGGCAGAAAAGTCTTGCTGAATATTTATGGTACGAAGCACTTACCTGTTTTTCAGTACCTTCCTGAATATTGTCTCTTCCTCTTCTGCTGTACCCCCGTGACAAGGACCCATCATAACTGCCTGCAAGTGCTACAAAGTGGTTGTACATACAGGTCATATCTGCCTGTTGTTCATGTAATCAGTCACAGTATCTAGAGGTTTTGTGCTCTTTCATGTCCCTGGAATAAGCGATTGTGGCAAATGCTGTAAGTACCATTTAAGCAAGTATTTTCAATTGGAACACATGAAGGGCACCACTGTGTGTGTGCGTGGGTATGGTTGTGTACACAGATATATTGCATCTTTCTAAGGGGAGAAGGAATATCTGTCAAACCTCTCGAGGTGCATTCCTGTGTGCTGTTCAGTCTTCAGAGGATACTTAACCTGCAACAGGCTGATGAAGTGAGGGACAACAAAATCAGCAGCCACCCTTATAGTCCAACCAGTATTTTACTACAGTATATGTTTAAGAGCTGTCTTGGCTGTTAGCCTATTAAGCTGTAGGATAAGATAGTTGATGATAACAGACTGTTAGCACCTCTGTTCTTCACTGCAGCGTGCAGCAAGTTAAACCAAACCTTGCCTTCTATCTGAAGGCTGCCGATAGGAGTAACAGTGGGATCTTCTTCAATTACAGAAGTTTCAGGCAATTCTAGTGCCAGTTCTCAACTGTGAGGAAATCAGAGTACTTTATTGCTTCAAAAGTGTCGTTAGTAGCACAAAGTGGCGCGGAAGAAAAAAACAACTTTTGACAAAATGGGTCCTGCTGATGATTTATGTTGATCTGAACTGGAAAATCTGGTAGGCAGCAAGCGTGGATACAGCAGTCTTCAAACAGAGGCAGTTGCTTGTTAGCTGTTCACCTGCGTGGTTGTAGTGACTGAACTTTGCATCCAGCACCTGACTAAACATTTCTTTTTTTCTTTAAACCTAGGTTACCCTTCCCAATGACTCCAGCTGTGTGGAAGAAATATTACGGGTGAGTAATACCCTTTGCTTTTGTATCTTCTGTATAATTGTAGTGCGGTTATTTCATCTTTCATGGAGAAGGGTTATATGGCTGTCTTTAACAGTGTAGTTAAATAATAACATATTAGTGGGTCTGTATTAAAGAGGCACAGCCAAGTCGTAGGCCCACGGTGCTCCGTAGTGAGTAAGGTCAGTTCTCCTAATACTCTGCATCTGCCAGCTTGTCTCGGTCAGGATTTACACATGTTCCTGTTCTTTTTTAAGCTCTCAATCTCTGTGAGTCTCTCTGGGACGCATTTCTCTCCTACCCTGAGGTGGAGTTGCCTTAATTCTGCCATTCACAGACTGACTTAACAGTCTTCCTCCTTCTTCCTCCAAACTACAGTTGCTCATCGTTCATGGTTTTGTTAAAGACCTACTGACATTTTTTTCTGTGAGCTCTGGTCAGTGGTTGAATACAGAAAATTAAAACAACCACTCCAAACTGAGCATGGCTTAATTGCAACAAGATCATATAACAAGAAAAAGGGGAGTGTACACAACAAGTAGTATATGTGTAAATCTGCCTTACTTTAAGTGTAAGATGGGCTTTTCCTCAGACACCAGAGCTGTGGGGTCCCCTGTTGGCAGTGAGATTTGTCTGGGGGCAGGTTTGCAACCCACCAGTCCCTATCTGGGATTTAGGTTTTTATCCTCATGCATTGAGTTTGCCATCTCTCAGAGCTACCTCCCTGGGATTGCCAGCCAGCCTGCTGGTTTTCAGTGTAGAGGGGATAAAATTTCAGTGGGAATTTGTGCCGGCCATGTCCTTGTCACTAGGAGCAACTGGTGCAAACTAACCCAGACCTGAAATCATGTGTAACAATCATGCCAACTTGCTTGCAAAGACATGGACTTATTCTTGCTTAGAAAATAAAATAGGCTTCTCAGTATTCATTGCAATCCAGAGTTAAATAGTTTGGGAAACTTGCTCCTGTTTTGTGTACACACATTATCTTGGGATGCTATTGATGTCCTTATGGGTTGCCAGTGTTGCCGTAGAAGTATGTTGAACCAGCAGGCAAGCATGCGTGTGCAGGCCTGCAGTAACAGAGGAGTATGCATCTGCATGTGCACCCAGCAGGAATTTCAGCCTTCAAAGTGAGCAGGGGTTTATTACCTATAGAACACTAAGAGAGCAAAAGCAAAGAAAATGTTGAAAGGCTGTGCGAAATACTTGGTACATTTTAAATGTCTTCTTCCCCCGTTTCTATATTTCAATTAGGTTCATTACTATAGTTGGAATGAATGACTTGTTAGCTGGGGAAAGCAGTTGTTTTCAGTAAACAGCATCAAAAGGAAATGTGATGTAGCTAATTTCAGGGATCAATCATCCAGGTGACAGTTTTAATGTGGGAACAGTGCATATAAATCACAGGAAGCAGAAACGTCTTTTTTCTAATCAAGAGGAGGTGATCCTATTTCCTACCCCATGACTGTAATTTGAGTCAGCAAACAGAGGCAGAATGTCCCAGGCTTCCTTCTGAAACCTGCTGAGATCGGTGCAGGACTTTCTGTTGTCTTCAGAGGATGGGGATGAACTGCAGAGTCCCTGCAGCTGCAGGCAGCACCTCCTGCCTACCTCCTGTAGGCTGTTAAACTCGGGGGGACTCGTGGGGTGGGCAGAGCAGGGATTTGGCAGGTTTCCATGTCTCTGGGGATCTGTCTCACAAGGGCATGTGAGGGGCACCCAAAAAAGGGATACAAACCGCCAGATCTTTCTTGACTGCTGGGTGTGGATGCCCGAGACACCCCCCAGGCCCAGCCTTGCCATCCAGCCGTGGAGCAAACCTGTCAGCCATAGGCGCAGGCATAGCCAGAAGCCATCCCTTGCCTGCACCGAGGAGCAGGTATGGACTTGGCACGCCGCAGGTGGGCATGGGACCTCGGCCATGGTTTGTCTGGGGTGCACGCTGCCTTGCCACATGCGCGGCTAGGTAGTTTTGCGTGCTGTTACACGGCAAGGGTGGCTTAGTATGCCATCGGCATGGCGTTAGGCAGCTCTGGGCGCTGACAGGCTGTCTGCAGCCTTCTTGTAACCTGTCTGCAAGCAGGCTGCAGGCTGCCAGGAAGGCCCTGAGTGTATGAAAGCAGCAGATCACAGAGCTGCTTTTGGGGCTGCCCGTCAAAGGCTGAGCAAACCCCAGTCCCAGTTGGTTGCCTTCAGTGGCAGCGTTTTAGGCTTTCAACTTCATATGGTGCTGAAGCATGCGTGGAAGTAGAAGTAAAAGAGTTTTGTCAATTACTTCATTGTTCTCAAATTTATAATGCAGAACAAGCTAGCGGGAAATGTGTTTTGGCTGCACGCAGAGTATCATATTCTACTTGATAGGCAACAGAGAGAAAATGAGTAAGAGAATGTGATGCGCAGCAGTGGTCAAAATTCAGTCTTCAGGCTCCCCGTGGAAGGCCTGGATCAGGAGATTCAGGCTTTCTGCTCCACATGAAAGGATGACCCTTGGTTTCAACAGCGATTTGTGCTTTGAGAACCTGGACTAAGTTCCCAGCCCTGACAGATACTTTCTGGCCTTTTGGGGCCGTGACGTAGGCTTTGAAGAGCCTTTGGGAGTGTGGGCCTCAGCTCCCTGATGGCAGCTTCCCCAGGTAAAAAAATAGGCGGTTAACATTTCCATCCTGTCAGGGACATTGCAGAGGTAAACAAGAAGGATTACAAGACAGGCAAGTCCCGAAGGTAGACAGATGGGGCTGTAATAGCATGCGTTTTGACCAACCAAACCATCGGCAGTGACCGGCAATTTCTGCTCTGGGCCATGTCCGTTGCTGAGCTGTGCACCCCAAAGTGCCGGAAGAAGGGTGCTGCTGCCTGCCTCACCCTGCCCCTGCCAGTCTCCCTTTAGAGCATTTCATGCCTTGAAGTTTGCTTTTTTCCTTTTTTTTAAGTCAGGGAATTATTCAGTTTCACCCCTTAGAAAGACACAGTAACTCTTGTAGTTTTAGGTTTTTTTCTAGGTTTTTTTGCTAGACTTTACAAGGAAGAGGGACCAAAGCTAAGATCTGTGACCTCTGATTTTAGAGAGCTCTTTTTTCAAGCTGAACTTGATTAATGGTTTTTGTAATTGTAGAGGTTTGCAATTCCTAATCTCTGTTGTCTTTTTTTTTCCCCCTAGAAAAAAAAGGTTTAATTGAGTTCATGGTCAAAAATTTCCAACCGAGTGAGGGGAAAGGTCTTGAGTCCGTTCAGACCCCTGAGTCTTCAGAGACAAAATTTCACAGTCCTTCAGATTTCCTGAAACACTTAGCCACTTATGTCATCCTGTGTAAATGCTTTAAGGACTGTTCCTGATACTACAACCAAAGGTTAATGGCAGACCAGTCTCGTGTTGATTTTGCTTTTCTAACCAGGATGGCTGAGAAGGTTGTTAAAAATAATAATAATAAAAATAATCTCTCTCGTACAACTAAGGCCAAGCTGTAAAGGTAGTACAGGAGATTTGCATTTAATACAGGTTGCTAATACCAAATTGAAAGATGAAGGCAAATACATTGGTCATCAGTACACTTCTTTCTCTTCCAAAACGTGGCTTATTTTTTTAAACCAACGTAATGGCTTTGACCGTGTGGATAACATGGAAGACAGGCAATCAACAGTGTGTGTGTGCGCGCGCGTGTGTGTAATTCACATTTTATTAATATGGATTTAAATTAAGTTGTCACTTGCTATGTGCAGCCATTGAAAAATGAGTTCACTGAAATGTTGTGATACAAAGTGCAGATGGGGCGGGAGAACTGACATTTTAAACCAGTATTCTGGAGCTGTTACTTGTGCCACTTGTACCAGTGCCTGACATCAGTGTGCCTTGCTGTCATTGCGCGTTATGTGAACCATTGTGCTGGCGCAGGCGTAGGGGTGTGTGTAGGTGTGACGCTGAGTGTGAACTGGCAGCGATCCTTTTTCTGCCTATAGAGAGCACAGGAGGGACCTCCCTTAGCATTGGTTTACCTCTGGGTAAAGAGGTGATAAGCACATAACATTACACAGGATAGAAAGGAAATTTTATTTAACTAAATTTTCTTGAGGACTTGTAGTGTAAATTGAAACTCTGGGCTAGGTGTTTAGGCAATCGATTAGACATAATCCCGCAGAAGTGAGGCTCTGGTCTGTACACATAAAGCTTTTGTGTCTGTGTTGCTAACCATCTGGGCAGGCACTTCTGTCTAAAAACCTGTCCCTACTTAGAGGAACAAAAGAATTCTTGTAGGTGCATATTCGCTGTAGTAAGGCATCAAGTAACTAGATGGACTTCTGATGTTATGTGGACAGCTGTGATATTAATTAAAAGCTTTCTAGTCTGGAAGCAAAACAAATCCTAAATATAATTCAGATTGTAATTAGTGTAAAAATGACTGGAGTTAAATGAGCAAAGTCTATAATTTGTATGGTCGTCTATTCTTCTGATGACTAGCTCATGTCTAATGACATTGGAGAATATGTAAATTGATCAGCAGGTGAAAATGCCCTTGACTGGGCAAATTATGTGTAGTATTACCTTCCTCATGCCAGTTGAAAGCACTAACGGATTTAATATGTGTCATCCATAGCTGAGGTGAACTGTTCACAGAGCAGAATTAGACTGTAACAGATATAGCCCATTATTTGCCCCTCAGTAATTGTTTTCTCTTCTAAAATACAAACCAACATTGAAGAACGATGCTAAACCTAATTATAATAATTGTAATTTGAAAAATACAGGTATGCTGTCCAGTGTGGTTACAAATGCACTTAGTAGCTGACAGGCAGTTTAAATATTTTCATGTGCAAGCTGGGGGCTTGCTGGGGAGGACATGATGTGAATTTAAAATGATTACCCAGACGTCATTGGACAAGTGAATAACGAGCTGACTGGCCTAGTAAACCATGTGAACCTGTCAAATATGGGAACACGTTGGGGAGGAGATGATGTCAAGTAACAGTAACTTAGCAACCTGGCATTTAGCTGTCCAGAGAATGAG